ATGTGGTGCTGGGGGATTGAACCGCGGTCCCTGTGCTTTGCTAAGCTTGTTCTAAGTAGGTGCTTTAGACCACTGAGCCATCTCACCAGCCCACCCCTTACTTTTTATTCTGATAGTTTTTGGGATAGAGTCCTCTTGAGGTTTTCATTTTCTTTGGTTCGTTGATTGGGTGTTTTGTTTTATTTTGGAACTGGGTCTTGTTAATGTACTTCAGATTGGGCTTCAACTCACTGTATAGCCCAGGCTGGCCTCAAACTCATGGCAGTTCCCCCTGTCTCAGCCTCTCAAATGCTAAGATTACAGGTGTATAGCACCACACTGGCTTTTGAGGTATTTATAGTCTCCTCATACTTCATATACTCAGTTATTTCACCTGTAATGGTAATTTAATATAAACATTAACATTTATATTTCCTTGTTTTATTTGATGTGTTTTATATTTAAAAATTAGAAACTCTCACTAAAGTAATGCAGATCTTTTCTTAAACAGAGGTTCTTTCCTTAAGAATTTCATAGCCTTTGGATCAGGTAGCAGATAATAATAAGTTGGCTTCTCCATGAGCAATAACTTGTGACTTTGTCCCTTCAGATCACTATTTGCAAGAATGATGAGTGTGTGCTGGAAGACAACTCTCAGCGGACCAAATGGAAGGTGATCAGCCCCACAGGGAATGAAGCAATGGTGCCATCAGTCTGCTTCCTCATCCCTGCACCCAATAAGGATGCCATTGAAATGGCCAGCAGGTAACTGTTCAGCTAAGTGCTGCTACCTCTGCAGTTTGTCTCAGATGTACTTAGCGTGATGAACTCCCATTTGTGATCTCCCTGAACCGAGCAAGCAAATTGTGAAGTTTCTTCTGAAAATGTCTTCCTGTGAGGGAAATCAAGTATCAGTTGCCAGCCACAGTAGATCTTCAATAGTTTAGTGATACTTCTTTTTAAAAGAATTCTTGGTTATAAATAACTTACACTCAGAGGGTTCATTTTTATAGTAACAACTACTTTAATTTATATTAAAATAGTTTATGTACACATTGTAGAAAATTGGGCTATACTAGAAAGCATATTATAATGAAAACTAATTGAGTGTGGTGGCACATGCTGTTAGTCCCAGCTACTTGGAAGACTGGAGCAGGAGGGATCCCTTGAGGCCAGGAGTTTAGGTTCAGCAGGGGCAGGACAGGAAGACCCTGTCTCATGAGAGAGAAGAGGAAAGGAAGAAAAGATGAGTAGTCGTCCCAACTCATGGGTTCTACCTGGAATGCAGCTATTTTCAACTCTGTTAGCAGGTTTTTCTGTGCTTTAACCTCCAAATTTTGAAACAGTTTGATGTTTTTCTTTTTTCAACTTTGGAAATTTGTTACTACAGGAAAGTAACATTTAGCTTTATACACACCCGCACAACTTTTCTTCTAAATATACTTATGTCATGGTTGTTTTATTTTTGATTATTTAGTTGTCATTACATTGTAGCTGAGCTGTGAGGCACTCGAGGGTGGGCATCATTAAGAAGCAGTCATGCCTCACCTCTCTCACCTCATCTTTTCCCACATTTCCTATACCCTACCATCTTTAAATTGAATTGTTTGCTTATTGATGAATTTTGACAGTTCATCTTTTGTGGTACAAGTCCTTTATAATATATGTGTATTTTAGAGATATTTTCTCATTCTCTAGCTTAACAGTGTCTTGAGTATTTTTTACCTCTTAGGAATATAGTATAGTTTTTTTTTAATTTCATGCTTTTGCTATCATATTTAGGGCAGTTGGGCCTAACCTAGTGTCACAGAGATTGTCTTCTGTATTTTCTTTTAGAAGTTTCTTTGCTTTAGACTTTTAATTTGGGTCTGTGATTTCATTTAAGTTTTGTATGTAGGATGAGGTTGGGTCAGTGCTCATTTGTTTTGTATGTGGAAGAACAGTTCTAGTACCATTTGTTAAAGCCTCCCTTGAAATACCTCTTCATACCTCTGTTGTAAACTAACTGACCTCATAGCTGGTTTTATTTCTGGATTTTCTGTTCTTTTCCCTCGACCAATGTCAGTGTTTATACCAGCACTACTTACTGACTGTTAAAATCAGGTAATGTGAGTTTTCCAGCTTCTTTTGTCTTGTTTTGGCTTTTGTACATTTCCTAGATTTTCCACAAAATTTTAGAATCAGTCTGCTGGTTGAGAAATGCAGTTGGCATTTTGATTGGTATTGCATTGAGTCTAAAGATCAGTGTGAAAATGGTCATCTTAACAAACTCAATCTTATAATCCATAAATATGGTATATTTCTTACTTTAGGTGTTTTTAAGCTTTATTTCATGAATAGTACGTAGCATATAGATCTTGAACTTTGAAAAAATTTTGTGTACTTTGTTATTGATATTAATGAATAGGTTGCCTGAATAGTTTGTATCTGCACAATAAATTGAATTCATAGTTAAAATATCATCCAGAAAAAAAAAAAAAATCATCCAGCAAAGAAACATTGAGGCTTAGCTTCCCTGGTACCAAAAATTTAAGAAAGAAGTATGTATTTAACATCATGATGTAGATACTATCCAGTGCATTAGGTACAGAAAAGAAACAGGATATATATAATTTGGAAATAAAATTTCTAGTCAGACTGCTTGTCTTCATTTCCCCAAAAGGAAAAAAAAATTTTTTTCTACCAGTGCTAATAAGTAAATATAACTAGTCTTTAAGATAGAGGTCAATAAACAGAGTCAGCATATTTATATCAGTTATGAAGACTTGGAAATTAAGTAACTTTTAAAGAAATAATACACTTGGATGTGGTGGTGATGCCTGTCATCCCATTACTCCAGGAGACTGCGAAGGGGATCGCTGTGAGTTTGAGGGTAGTCTAGCAAACAGAGGTCTAGGTCATCCTGAACTGCATAGTCCAACCCTGTCTCAAAAGAAAAAAAGAAAAGAAATAATCAACTTAAGGTGAATTGCATCATTCTGTCATTTATCCTACCATAAAAATGTTATAGGAAAAACCTTCCGCAAAATTCCCATACATTATACTAGGAAGGTAACATAGTATACTAGGAAGGAAGCAAAAGTTAATCCATTCAGTATTGTTATCTTTAAATTACCCAAAGTACAAGATACCAGCATTTAATTATCCAGATAATACTAGCGCAAAACCTATCTTTTCAGTAAACTTAAGAAATTGATAGTATAGCTTAACTAACGTATATATGTATGTATATGTGTACACCCACACATATTTTATATCCTTTAGCTTTTCCTTTTTTTGTATTCGCCCATTGAGTTCTCTTTCCCTTTTTTTTTTTGGCAGAACCAGGGATTGAACTCAGGCCCTTGTGCTTGCCAGGAAAGTGCTTATTCTACTGAGTCATCTCCTTGGCCCTCTCTTTACTTTTGAAGTTTCTTTCCATTTTACAGTATGTATTGTACATTTTTTTTTTTTTTTTTTTTTTCAGTTTCTTACACTAGGGACGCAATATGAGGTTTACACAAACAAGTCTGATTTTTTTTTTTTTTTTTTTTTTGTGGAACTGGATTTGAACTCAGGCCCTTGCGCTTTCCAAGGGGGCTTATTCTACTGAGCCATCTCCCCGGTCTGGTATTATACATTTTGGTTGTTACTTACTCTTTCCTGGTTTCACAGTAGGAGGACAATACGATGTTTACACATTTGCACCTCGTTTATTTCACTTAAGAGTTTGGTCTCGAGTTGTATCCATTTACATATAAAAGTCTCCAGTTTATTGTCTATGGTTGAATAGTATTCAGTTATAGAAAAAGAGTACGTCTTTTTTTATCCATTCCTTCCTTGGTTGAGTTGCTTCTAAGATCCAGCTATTACAAATTGTGCTGTTATAAAAATGGGTGCAAGTATGTTTTTAATTGT